GGCTCAAATTCTCGACTCGAATTAGGCGCATATCTATCTTCTGAAGGTGTAGAAATAATACTTCTAAAGTCAGGGATTCTTATAGGGTAGCAGCTGGTGCAGGTTATATTGTAACACCCCTCCCATCATTGTGCTAAAATAATTTAGAAACTCTATTAATCGGGTCTTTAGCCGCTTTAAACTTAATTAATTTACAGTATTTAATATTTATCGTGATTCGTAATTTTGGTTGATTTTTATTTATTTAATTTTTATTTTAAATTATTTTATTTTAGATAATTTTAATTTAACTAAATTAAATTGAAAATGAAAATTAAGAAAAAAATTGGAAAACGACAAAGGGGAAAAAATTCAAGTGGGAAAAATCCCGCGAGAAGTCTAATTGCGCGAGCAGGTGCTGGGCACTGTGCGCGCGCACATTGGCCATGGGACATGCACACAGTGCGCACATCCCATCTGCACGCACATCCCATCCCATCCCATCCCATCCACGCAGCGCCTAACATGCCTAGGCCCTATGCGCGCGGCAAGAGGCCTGTGCGTTTACAAACTAGCATGTAGCACGCCGACTGAGGCATTGCCACCTTGGGCAATGTACCGCTGCTGCCTTGGGCAATGCGCCACCACTGCCAGATTTCAACTAATTTCACCACTTGGCACAAATCCAATGGTTCTGAAATTTTTTAAATTGTCCTCCCCCTTTCCTTCCTCTCCACATTTCCATTCTTTCATTTTTCAAAAGTTTAGAGATAGAGAGAGAAAAAGATAGTAGTCTAGTGAGAGAAGAAGAGAAAGAAAAGAGAATGGTGAAGGAGAAAACATCAAGGTTTCGATAAGGAATCCAATATTTCTTTTGACGTCTTAAGAAATATTTTTAGATAAACTAATTTAATATGATTGTGACTTTATCTGTTTTGTATGCCTCTATGTTCAGATAAGTCAAATTGTTCTTATTTTCAAGCATACTATGTGAATTGCAGACACTTGATGAATTTATATTTAATAAATATAATATGTAATCAGTAACAGTAAAAGTAAAAAAAAAAAAATAGAATGAAACTTGTATGATTCGAAGTGTATCTGTATTGACATACATATTGCAACAAGATTTTCTCCTAACTCACTCAGCCCCTTATTTCCCTTATACTCGATTAACACCTTCCTCATCTGCAAGTTATAACTTCCCTAATTATCGGTTTCACTCTCTCATCACACAGTGCAAAGAAAACCAATTTTTTAAAAAATTTGGGGCGAGTTCAGTTTTGGCAAAACCCACACCGAACTAACCCCATTGACATCCCTAAAGAGATTTATTATTATGTTTAATTCATTAGTGCTTCAAATAGAAATTGGCTAAATGTAAACATGGTCTAGTCTTCATAGTTACATCCTACAATGAATTAATCATACTAACCAAACTAACTGATGGAACAAGGGATGACAATTCGAGCGTGTACCTAGGTTCAGCAAGATTTGCCACCAATGCCACCTCCCTTACTTTTTCCTAACAATGTGGAAAAAGAAATCAGTAAGTAGAAAAAGAGCGATGCTAGCAAGGTGTTACAAGGAGGTATTAGAAATATTCAATTAGATGCAAAGAAAGAAAGTTAGGCCTGAAAAATTTATCTTGTCAAGTGTTCTTGCTGCTTTGCTAATACTGGGGCACTTGATCAAGGCAGGTGAATTCATACTTATCCAAGAAAAAATTCTATCAAATTGGATGCAGTTTTAGGGACTACTTTGGTGGACATGTATGCTAAATGTGGGCGCATTGACTTGGCTTGGGGTGTTTTTTGAGAATATGAAGGAGAAAGAAGTTTTCTCCTGTAACACAATGATAGGAGGACTAGCTATGCATGGCAGAGCAGAGGACGCTATTGAGTTCTTCTTCAAAACGCAGAGGGAGAGGGTATTGAGACCAAATGGGAATACTCTTGTCTGTGTTTTAAATGCTTATGCTCATGCAGGATGGGTTGATAAAGGTTTAAATATATTTAATTCAATGCAAAAGATTTATGGTGTTGAGCCAGAAATAGAGCATTATGATTGTGTGGTTGATTTGCTAGGAAGAGCAGGGCTCTTGGAAGAGGCAGAGGAGCTTATTGCCTCAATGCCAATGAAGCCCAATACAAACGTTTAGGGAGCACTTTTGGGTGCTTGTAGGATACATAAAAATGTTGAACTTGATGAAAGAATTGAGAAAATCTTGCTTGGGATGGACCCTCTAAATTCGGTGAAAGAATTTGGAGCATTATGCAAAGGATGGGAGATGGGAGGATGTCGAAAAGTTGAGAAAATTGATGAAGGGAAGGGGTATTAGAACAACACTGGAAATTAACATGATTGATTTAGATGGGATCATTCATGAATTCAAAATGGGTGATGGATCGCACCCACAAATGAAGGAAATTCACATGATGCTGGAGAAAATCATTGAGAAGTTACAGATGGAGGGCTACTCACTAAATACCTCTTAAGTTTTGTTTGATGTCAGTGAGGAGGAGAAGGAAACTGCATTAATGTACCACAGCTAAAAGCTTGCAATTGCTTTGGGATTGTTTAACACAAAACCAGGCACTCCAATTCGCATTATCAAGAACTTGAGGGTGTGTGAGGACTGTTATTCTGCCACCAAGCTTATTTCAAGAGTTTATAAGTGCGATATTATTGTCAAGGATCATGTTTGATACCATGATTTCAAGAATAGAGTATGCTCATGTAAGGATTTCTGGTAAAAGTTCTTAAAGTGCTAAGTTCTTAAACAAAAAGCATATGAACTTGCAAAAACAACACTAGGTAACAACCCTTCTTCCACCAAAGATTCAAGCTTTGGAAAAATAAAAAATAAACAGAAGGAGTTTAGCATAACCAAGAAGAGCATTGTTCAGAGAAGATTGGAAGGTGAAGAACGAAAGAAATACATGCAAATTAAAGAAAAAACGAAAGAAATTAATGCTGGAAAAATCAAAGAAAAAAATACAAAAATACTTACCGATCGAGAAGGTGAAAAACATAAATCAGAAGTAGAATCAAGAACCCAAACTTTGAAAGCAATCAAAGAAGAAGAACAAGCAGATATCAATAGGAGAAGAAAAAGATTGGAGCTGTTCAATCCTCCCTGCATGCGGCTTGACTAAGAAAATAATTTTTTTTTTTTTAATTGTAAGAATAAAAATAGAATTAATTATGTTATATGAGAGTATAAAGGGAAAAAAATAGTATGCTAGTCACATACCACCAATTCGGTAGTTTAAAAATTCATCCCAAATTTACCAGTTAGAAACTGTTTGTTACTATTGAAAGTTGAAACAAGCACAATTTTCTCACACTCGTGGAGTACCATACATTAAAATCGTATCATTCATCATTATCCAAACAGGGCCTTAAAGCCAAATATTTCTCTCGAGGGGATTTTTCAACTGCAAGGTTGGACACCAACCCCAGTTTTACATAGAGAAGTTTGTGTCAAGCTAAGGACCTGATGACGAGCGGTGTAAGGTGGATTATTGGGACAGGCCATAAGTGAGAGTTTGGGAAGATCCGTGGCTACCGTGAGGTATTGAGTTCAGGGTCAACAGCCAGTGTATAGAAGGAATGGATGACCTGTTGATTTGCGATCTTATGAATGAAGATTCAACAAGTTGGAACTCTGATTTAGTTAAGGGCCTATTTGTTGAAGAAGAAGCTGCATTGATCCTTGGCATTCCACCGAGCTTACGCAGAAGAGAGGAGAAACTGATCTAGGCTTTTTCTAAGAACGGAAGCTGCACTGTTAAGTCTGCTCACCAACACCTCCGAGGTACACATGCCTCCTCTTGCACTGAATCTGTCAACATTTAGAAGCGGATATGGTTGGCTGATGTTCCCCCAAAGATGAGAAATTTCGTTTGGAGACTGCTTACCGAGATGTGGCCAAGCAGAAACAATCCAACATATATCCCTCGAGTGCAGGAAAACCGTGAACTGCTGGCGGCTGTTAGGTGTTCATGTAGCGCCACCTTATGTGCCAGATGTCAGAAGGTGGCTGGAACAACATCTTAAAAGTAAGACATGATAGGAAGTGGCAGAAGTGCTATGTTGTATGTGGAGGTTAGAACTTGAAAGGAATGAGTTTCTGTGGGCGGGCAGAATTTTTGTTGATCCTACCTCTATTTACTTGTCGAGGAGATTCCTGTATGAATGGAGGCAGGCCAAGGATATACGTAACAGAGGCAACGTGGACAAACCGGTCTTCGCACTCACTCATGTGCCATGGCAAGCTCCCGCACCGGGAATCTAGAAATGTAATGTTGATGGGACTGTCTTGAGATAGGGACTGTGGCTGGGTTCGGGGCAGTGATCCGAAATTCGGCTGGGTTAATCTTGAAAACAATCAGGGGCAGATTGCATAGGTGCAGAACGCTGTTTTTAGCAGAGTTACTAGGTTGTCGGTAAGTACTGCAATATCTCGTTCCTAATGTCAGTGGGCCTAGTATTCTGGAGGTGGATACCCAATTAGTGAAGCAGGCATTAGAATCATAAGCGACAGACAACTCAGAGTATGGGTTTATTGTTGATGATTGCAGGAAGCTCTTAGTCGACCGGCCAGATATCTCCGTCAGTTGGGTCAGAAGAGAGGGCAACACGATCGCTCATTGTATTGCGAGGGAATCGTTGTCCCACCAGGGTTTCTGTGTAAGGGATACGGTCTCTCAAGCCTGATGTATTCCTCTCTTACGTTAATGAAGTTGATTATTCTAAAATATTTATATATATATGTATATAAATCAAAATGCTGAAGGGTATAAACTAGGTTGCTTAAATAAGACTAAAGAAAAAAAAGGAAAAAACACGTTTGAAATTCAATTTTTTAGTAATTTATTTATTTAAATACGTCACAGTTTTCTCATAATTTGTCTGTTGGCCTCTGAAAAGTTTAGAAGGAAAAAATAAAAGAACAGAAAAGAAAAGGAGAAAGTGGGAGAGGAGAAAGCAGGAAACAGAATGGTGAAACGCACTAGCAGGGGTTCCTCCTCTGGTAGCAGCTTGGAGTTCTTTAAAGTATATAACCCGAAGTTTAGTTCTCAGCAGCTGGTTGTCTCTCTCTCTCTCTCTCTCTCTCGCGCGCGCACACACACACACACACACAAACACAATAGTAACTATATACATTTGCAGTATATTAAACGCTACAAACAATGATGGTCTTTTTCACTGGTGTATGTTTCTTTTGGCCTGCTTAAGCTGTGACAGAAAGGCACTTAGGGATGTACAAATTTTTGCTGCTGAAATTTCCACATTGGTGTTTTTAGGTTTTGTAACAAGCAGTTTAATATTTTAAGTTGCATTTGTAGGATTGTGTTTTTAGGAATGTACAACTTTTTGCTGCTCAAAATTTTCACATTGTTGTTTTTAGGTTTTGTAACAACCGGTTTAAAATTTGAAGTTTCATTCGTAGGATTGTGGATTGCTTTGTTGACCAATCAGTTGAGACATCGACGGTGGATTACTGCTCACGAAACCATGGTTTTCTTGTTTGGTTGGCAAGAAACGGGATGGAAAAAAGATTAGGAATTAAAGAAAAAAAAAGTGAAATCCTTGTTTGTTTGCCTCATTATATGCTTTTTAGTAAATGGCTGTGATACAGCAATTTGAAATTTCAGATTTTAAGAATTCCAATGTTCCCCTCCCCTCCCCCAGAATGTATTGTCTTTCTGTAATTATCATTTTCAAGTTTTGTGGCTGACATTAGAACGTGATGCATATGCATTATAGAAAGTTTATATCCATTTGACATGTGTTTAAATTTTTTTCTTGGTGAAAATTGAATTGTCTCTTCAGTGCTTACCTCCTGCTTTTGTCACAAAACTGAAAGGATCTATTCCCAGCAATGCCACTCTCAAAGATCATAAAGAAAAGTTGTGGCATGTCAAGATGGAAAAAGGTGACCAGGGTTTAACCATTACGAATGGTTGGCAACACTTTGCAGATGAACACTCCTTAGAATTTGGGGACTTCCTTGTTTTCATCTATGATGGAAGTTCCCACTTTGATGTGAAAATTTTCGGTAAAAATGGATGCAAGAAGGAATCACATTTTGCTTCACAAGTTAAAGAGGAAGAAGATAAGGAAACCGAGCAGATTCCTATCAGGACTACACGAGCTTCCAAGCAGAAATATTTGGAAACAGTCCTAAGAAGAGTTAAAAAATCAGGTAAAAAGGGATGCCAGAAGGAATCACATTTTGCCTCACAAGTTAAAGAGGAAGAAGATGAGGAAACTGAGAAGATTCCTGTCAGGACTACCCAAGCTTCCAAGCAGAAATATTCAGAAACAGTCCTAAGGAGCGTTAAAAAATCAGGTGATGAATCACTAATTTCCCCACTAAGCATGCTGCCAGGGTCACTTTTAACTGGTCCTTTGCTTTCAGGATCATCTGAAGTAAATCAATTTAGGTTTCAGACAAGTTCCCAGGAAGTCCAGGCATTTAAAGCACCTGCACATCTTCCACCATTTGAGGCAACTATAACACAATCATCGAAATATGTAATGGTGAGTGCTTGATCTTTATGTTGCACTATATCTTTTCTCAATAGATTTTTCTCGTCATTGCGAACATACGCTGAAAGAATTTTTCATGATTTTATATTGCTTTTGATAAGATATCTACCAAAATAAGGTCTATTACTCTCTTACTTATATTTCCTCCAATGTCTACCAATTAGAATGCAGATTCTTAGAAAGAGAGTGGACACTTGAATTAGAAGAGGCAACTGCATCAGAACTGGCATGGGTCTTGACTTTGGTTCATTGTCTATGTTTTGGGTAGTTTGGGGAGGAGTAGGAAACCTAACTCTTAAGAGCTAGTTGGAGAATTTTTTTTATACATACAGAAGAAAGATGGTATAACATATACTTGGTTGAAGGGGATTTTAGTGTGGAGCAAGAGGACTCACAGAGTTTTTTGACCTTCGTACACTGAATTCTACTTGGGTTGCCTGACCCCCCTTGGTGTCTTATCAAGAATACTGTTTGCTAAACACTAGAAAGTATAGCTTCATACATAAGCAAGGTAAAGGATTCCTATTAGTTCTCTGGACCAGGAGAAACAAGATACTGCATATAAAGTGTTTGAGATCTATTGGCATTCGATATGGTATTTGGTCCTGAAAACAGGAGCAGGTGAACAGGGTTTAAGGTAAACATTTCTTAAAAAATAATTTACGGGTTAGCTAAGAATTTTAGCTGTCAATTATATGATAAACTGAAAAGAGGGGAAGCAGAAAATGGGAGCCTAGAGCAAAAGAATGGAGACAAAGCAGTATTTGAGTGTTCAATATCAGGATGATTTAAATGATCAATTCTAACAGAAAAAGATGATTGGGAGCAGAATGTTATCAAGGGGGTCATAAGGTGCCATACTTATATCATTATCTTCTGGAGAACTGTCGGGGAAATAGTGGGCGAGAGCCTGAAGCAAAAGAATGGATACAAGATAGTGTTTGAATGGTTAATACCAGGATGATTTAAATGGTCAAATCTCACTGAACAGATGATCTGGAGCAGAATGGTATCAAGGAGATCCAAAGGTGCCATACTGATACAGTTACTGTCAAGGGAGAAGAACAGTGGTTTATCTTCCTTTTAGATGGAGAATTTGTTGAAAGGGAATATGCAGTATACTATGTCCGTGCTTTAATACTGTTCTCATTACCAACTAGAAACAAGGAGCACGGAGTTCATGCAAAAGATATCACTTTTATCTCTATTATGCTAGAATATGATCTAAAAAATGTTTCTGCTTGCACAAGAATTGCTTCCAATCAATTTATTTGTCATTGTTGCCTTGATCTATAAACAGACATACAAGATTTGAATCATGCTTGCATTATGTTTGAAAATACATTTGTTCTGTAAATCTAATTATCTTCTCATTTATATTAATATGTTGGTCAGTTGGTTAAATCACGTAGATGTTAAGTGATGCATATGTTATCTGAAAGAAGCATATATCTCATGATTGTTTTACTGCTGGCAGAATATTCCTAATTCGCTGGTGAATGCATGTGGCATCAAGCTGAATTCAGAAGTAATCCTTTCTGATCAGGATGGGAAAAAGTGGCCTGTGAAGGTTAAGGTCTGGGGGGATGGTCGAATTACTCTTGCCACTGCGTGGTCTCTGTTCCACGAAAATACCATTCTGGTAAAAAATGATAGGTGTGTGTTTGAGCTTGTCCTCAGTAAAGGATGTGTAAGCAAAGAAATGAAGGTACGAATTATCCGGAAAGGTAAGCAAAAAGCTGAACAAGTGTAGGATCAAGGCTTGAATTACATATGCCAGTGGTAAACAGAAAACAAGATTTGAATCACCCATAAGTACATTGCTGATTTGGAAATATATTAGGAGGGAGAAGATCAAAAGAATTTGTCGGTTGTTGTGGCTAACTTTTGTCTATAGGTGTTGTCATATAAAACTTCTTAGTTCTTTCCTAACAATATTTAGGATAAGTTCTTATTTTGAGTTGACTAACTAAAGTGGTAAAATGTCTCATACTTTTCATGACTACATAATCAGTATGTACTTCCCTTTCCACTCCGTAACCCTTTCCGGTCTCTCCTCAGGTGAAGTAAGGTTAATTTGTTGCTATTCTTTCTTTTACAATAATAATGTTATTGTTGTCAAGATTAATTTTTTTTTTATATTTATTATAATTGTATAATCAGTTATTCTTTATGAATTTTCGTTTTGCTGATGTTATTTTTTGATGATAAATTTTTGCTTTAAAAATTAATTTTTAATATTTTTTTTGCTTATTGTAATTATTGTTGATAAATTTTTACATAATTTTGCAACGGTACTTTTTATTGTAAAATTAATTTGCTACAATTTTTTCATTATATAATTTATTTTTCTTAGTGAATTCAGGTAATTGCCAGCATGAATTGAAAATAGCAAATTCTTTTGTAATTCAATTTAAATTTCATACTGTGAAATATACTTATTTACATAAAAAAATTTTGTATATAAAACATTTATTTCTTAAAATCTAAATAAAATTCTAAATTATTCATAAAATTAAAAAAATATGTATAATCAATATAAAACTACTATTTTCTTTGTAATGGGTGAATCAAAATTTAGATGAGAGCTATAATTAGGAGCCAATACTGGTCTTAACACTTGGAGCTGTTAGCCATTCCTCTATATTTTATCTATTGTGAATATATCTTTAACAAACAATCACAACCTTATTCATAGATTTCAATATTTTTTTTCTTATGCACATATCTTTAATAGTCAAGTACAACCATATATTCATAGATTTCAATATAAAGGAGAATTCTTTGTTGGGTATACGGTATCACAAGTGATTAACAATGTCAAAAATTGAGTTTCCAATAGACATCTTACCTGAGATCACCTAAACCCTTTAGCAGAGTCCATTTCAACAAGCACCTTATCCATTCATCTTTCATTTGCTCGACATAATCTCTTTCTTCAACCTTGTAGCTTTATGTATAAAAGAGAACATGATGATAAACTCATGGCAAACCTCCTCGAGCCATCATCTATTATCATCTCAAACACTCTTTTTTACGTTTAGCTTAATCCAACTCACACCTAATTGATGTTAACTAAAGAGGGGGAAATAATGATTTGAGTTATAAAATTCTGAAGATTTTTAAGCACACTTCACTATTTATTGTATGAGAATGTTAAGATCTAGTGAAGTTCGTTTATGCTAATCAAATACTTACTTAAAAAATGATATGCACAAATGAAAAAAACCGAGAATACTCTTAATAAGGGCAGAAAGGGATATTTTGATGAGCCACGATTGCATGAGAATATACTGATGGTCAAGACCAGAGATAATGGATTTTTGACCAAATGTGTTAGACTCCCACCGGGTTTTAAACATGAGACATGAAGCATAAGAGTTTCTTACATGATTAAGATGCATGAAACCTTGTATAGAGTGAAGTTTTGGTTGGTTGAACTATTGGTTTATTATCTCGGCAATGTTGGATATCGTTTGGCATGGAAATACTGAACATACTACATAAAAACATGAAAGTTAGAAGTTTACATGCGGGTTTGGCCCTTTGCCTTACTAGGTGATAGTGAAAAAGGTTATTCTAGTGGACCTTGATTTAAGAGGGTGACCCGAAAGTCAAAATGAGACTTCGAGCTGGATATGTGATATGAGCCTTTGGGCCGGATATATGAAATGAGCTTTTGGGCTGGATATGAGCCTTCGCACTGGATAAGTTGAGGAATCTTTATCGGGTTCAAAAATGGTTGCATTGAACATATAGCGTGCATATGAAAAGAATATGAAATTGTTGTGAACATGAAATAAACATGTGAGAAGAATGAGAAAATTCGTTCGTCCATTATCTCTAAGGGGTTTCTGTTTTCCCCTCATCTGAATAAGTGTTGGTGAACTGCTCCCTATGATGATCGATGTTCTCTCTGATGAGAGAGGATACACGTTAGGTGAATATAGGGTCCCCATGATGAATTGAACGTTATGGATTAGAGTCTAGATGGGGAAATGATAAAGACATGAGAATGGGTTGGTGATTCGCAGTGGTAGTCGGGGGTCCCTTCTACTATTAGTGGAGATATGTTGTAACAACTTCACGTGAAGGTTAGTAAAAGATAAATAAAACTTAAGTATGTTTAAAGCATCATTTTGATCAGTATGATGGAAATTCCTGTTTTTGGTGCATCATTTATACTTTTTGCTATTTCTCATGTTGTCACCTTGTCTAACTTCTCTATTTGAGTATACTTGATCAAATGTATCTTCTTAAGACGATATTCTTATCATGTTGAATATCTGTTTATCTAGTATTTTTAAAGACAACAATTTTTTATAAGATTTAATTGTTCAAATACTATTTTCTTTACTGAGTTTACGTGGAACTTACCCCTTATATGTGCCTCTCCCCCAGGTGTTGAGAAAGTTAAGAGTTTGCCCTTTGAGTCACATCTTAGAGTCTAGTTAGACTCAGTTCCAGACTCTTGATAATATTTGAGGACATAATTTGAGTGTAATAATTAATCTGCACTGTGATGAGGCTTCTTGTAAGTAGTTTATCTTGTATTAAATTACAATCTTATGGCTTTATTGTAAGATGAACTTAGAAGGTTGTAAAGGATTTCCAAATTCTGCTTCAAGGTAAAAAAAATTTTTATACTCGTAATCTATTGGGTTCTTAGCTCATTTTTTACCTAATGGGTATTTGGGACGTCATAAGCCTGCTGGGTCAGTTTTTGGCTCATACGCGTAGGGCATGCGCCGGCCTAGTAGGCTGCACGAGTGGGTACTACCAAGTGTTTGTACACACGGTCCGTACGGGCACATTTGGACGTGCATATGTATGGGGCATGTGGGTTTGGTTATATATTCGGCGCACGTGTGGGCAGCCTCATTCGCGCGTTGGTCTTTGTGTCCATGTGTCGAGGAATTTTTATGTCTGATTTTCCTGCGGGGTATAAGATCGCTTCGATTGGTTCATTACAGGACCTTGGAACATCGTTGAACATGGAGGCCAAATATCCTGTATGTTCATTGCGACACATTTGTACTCCACGGGCACCCATACCCAGTCTATATTTGGGCTTTCTTCTTGGACTGAAATTTTTGGGCAAAGTCGTTCCTTAGTCGTGGGGCCCGTTATCCTTTAGGTTTCTAGCACTTTTTGGTGTTATCTCTTCCTAGGTTAGGATTTCCATTTGGTGGATTCGACCTTATTGTTTGATACTTGAGCAAGGATAAAGTAGCTTGGAGTATTGTTACTTCACAATTACTTCCTTTTCTCTTCTCAGAAGGTCATCAGTACTAGCCCATTTCTTACCTTCCATTAGTTTGGGTTTGTCATCAGCGAGTATCGCCTCATAAAGTGTCCTAAAAATTGGACCAAAATCTGGAGGTAAATTGAGTTTCTCAATTAGACATAATTAGGACTAAAATGCCATAGAGACAAACTATCTTTCGAATGTACAACTCGACTAGACGACTAAGAGGATCAGTGGTCTTTATAGCGAAGAAATGAGCTGATTTTGTTAATTTATTAATAATAACTCAAACAGTATTGTGTCCATGACTGGTCTGGGGGAGACCTAAAATAAAGTCCATGGTGACATGTTCCACTTTCATTCTGGAATAAGAAGAGGCTAGAGTAAACCATCATGCCTCTGGTGTTCTACTTTCACCTGTTAGCAAGTGAGACGACAAGAAACACGAGTTAGGATATCCTTCTTCATATCTAGCCATCAAAAATGAGATTTAAGATCATGGTACATCTTGGTGCTACAAGGATGAACAACCAGTCTCAATGAATGAGCTACTCTAAAGATTTCCTCCATAAGCTCACGATAATCTAGTACCCACAATGTAACACCCATTAATTTTATCATTTTTATTATTATAATTATTAATTTTTAATTTATTTTATTTAGTTTATTTTATAATTTTTAAATTTTAATTGATTTATTTAATTTAATTTAATAAAAATAAAAATAATAATAATGATAAAATTGGGTAAAAATATTATTTGGATTTAATTGAAATTGATTTTGGGAAAAAGGGGTGAAAATTTGGATTCTGGGGGTATTTTTGAAAAGAAAATCGGAAACCGGGGGTCAAAACGTAATTTAGAAAAATTATGCCTCGTCAGCGCCACGTCAGCAGCCACATCAGCGGCCCAGTCAGCAGCCCTGGCCAACCAGGACCTGCCGCGTGGCAAGGCCACGCCGACCCGGGAACGGGCCACGTGGGCGATCCGCGTGCGCGCGATCGGACGGCCCAGATGCGTCCCCGCGCGCACGGACGGCCTAGATCAAGCGTGTGCACGGACAGCCCAGATGCACGCGCACGGACGGCCCAGATGCACGCGCACGGACGTCCCAAATTCAATCAAGTACGGACGGCCCAGATTTAATCGCGATGGACGGCCCAGATTTAATCTAAATTAAATCGCGATCGAACGGCCCAGATTAAATCAATATGAACGACTGTGATTAAAAGGCAAAGGGTATAAATAAACCCCCCACACCTGACCACAAAAACCCTAGCCGCAAGCCCTCGCCGGAGAAGACAAACCAGACGCTGGAGGAGTCGGCCGCCGCCACCCGCCGCCGCAGCGGGGAGTTTTCCGACCGCCGATCGAGGTAATTTCATACCCCCGGCTCGTTTTTTAATGCTGAGTTCCCCTGTGGCCAAATCGGAGCCAAACTCCTGGCCAAACGGCCGAAAAACATGGCCGAAACCCAGCGGCACCGTCGCGCCCCTCCTCGGTTTTTGCCTCCGATGAGGCCCTTCCCGGCCTCCGTTTGATACAATTTTTATATCACTGTGATCATCATTCTTTTCTCTACAGGTTGATCAGAGCCAAATCACCAAAACACGAACCACACCGGAGAGTCGCTGCACCCGAGAGCACCGCCGCCGGTAAGCTTCAGTTTTTCGTAATTTTTTGGCCCCCCGAGGGCCCTAGGGTTGTTTTATCGAAGGGACCAATGCAAGTGTGGCTGAATTCGGCTGGAAACGGCTGAAAACGGCCAACCCGAGGCGAATTGCCGCCGCAAGCGACGGCGTCGTTGCCGGAGC